TCACCTAACTAAACTTAATGAAAACCTCAAGAAAGTTTCCAAGTGTTATATGTTGTAATATTAAAGATTTTTAAAACTTCAATATTTTTGCATACTATTTCACAAAAGAATTATGCTCACAAATGTCAATCAAGCATTAGTTTTTGTAATCTTTTTTGTTTTTTAACTGAACTATGTGATCTTACTTAGAACATGCTTACAAAAGGGGAGTTCCTGGTGTGGTGGTTAAGAGTTGGGCTGCTCACTGAAAGGTCAGGAGTTCGAATCCAGAAGCTTCTGGACTAGGGAGAAAGATGACGCAGTCTACCTCTGTAAAGATGGAAGCCTTGAAAACCCTGTGGGTGGTTCAGTAGCTCTGGTGACCTGGTGTGCGACCCTGGGTTGGTAATCACAAGGTCTGCCGTTCTTCAAACCCAACAGCCACTCATTCTCCTTTATACAGTCTCAGAAACCCCGGCAAAGATCACTGTGAGTTGAAATTGATGCCATTGTTTGTTTTTGTTTTGATAACATGATGGAGCCTTAGCTGCATTGTGGGTTAAGCACCGGGCTGTTAACCACAAGGTGGGTGGTTCAAACCCACCAGCCACTCCACAGGACAAAAATGAGGCCATCTATACCTATAATAATTTTATAACTTCGGAAACCTTAGGGGGAAGTTCTACTCTGATCTATGAGGTCATTTTGAGTCTAAATTAGCTCTATGGCGGTTGTTTTTTTCAGTATAATATGAAGGTGACAAGTAGAAGAGGAAGTGTCAGTAATTGTTTTATAGTCTATCATGACTCCTTTCAATGAGTTACCAGAACTTTATTGAATTGAGGTAGAGTAGAAAAACAAAGTTTAATTTGATATTAAGAAAAAACTACAGCCGTGAAGTTTCTTTCACCTGGACGCTTTCCCCAGCTGCCAATGGCATTTTAATTTGGCACAATGGAGGTATCAAGAAATCATGGGCTCTTTCTAAAAACAGTGTAGAGCTTATTTAAGACCCTCCTTGCTACTGACTTGATGATGTAGCTTTTATGCTAAATCACCACGCCTCTCTTTGGAGAAGGGCAGACCTAAAAGGCTACAACAGCATGGAAGGCTACAAGGTTCTCAGCGTTCCACAGTTGACTTCTGGCCGGATAAATGGCCTGAATTCTAAAGATAGGCTTCCTTTTGCTTGGCCTCCCACACAAAGAGCTCCTCACCAATCCCCAGACGGGGGAAGAGTGCACTGGGGTGTCCTCTGGATTCCTTACCGCCCCACCCCCTTCTGGGACCAGATTTGCTGGCTCAGGAAATCCCTCAGCATAGTTTGGGCTCCAAATGTGAACTGAGAGTGGGAACTTCCCAGTGAAAAACATACAGAACTAGGAGCACTTACCATTTCTGGATTCTCCACAGCTAACTTGGCCATCTTTTCGGAGATCATCTTTTTCAAGCAGCTACTCAGCAAAAAAGCCTAAGAAATCCAGAAGCAGACAACTCTTCCAACTGACACCATCTCCTCTCCCTTCCCTCCTGCCACCAAAGCGCCTAATTTGAGCTCTGCCTTCCAACACGTTTCTGGAAATTTAAAGAGGAAATCTCCGTTCTTGGGAGAACTGTGCCTTGCAGCCCATTGGTGGCTCATGAAGTAGCTACTGCGTTTGAACTGCCTACCTTGTAGTTAGCAGTTTAATACTTAACCCACAGTGCCACCAGGGATCTCTAAATAGTCAACAGTAAGTCCAAA